AAAATAAAAAATAAAACAAAAATGTAACACAACGATGCGGGTAGAGACGAAGTACTGCTGCTTATATTGATAAGCGTTATGGTGCAGGTTAGGACCAAGGAAGAACAACACGAACACAAGAGTAGAAATAACGAAGGTATATTACACGAAATAATAATACAAGATGTGGAAGGTGTTAGTATGACTGTCAGTCTGGTTTGGAGTGAACTACCATCAGCTCGACACGATTCGGTATCTAGCCACCCGCCACGAGGGTAGATGTGGCACAAGGCCGAGTTTAACGTGGGTTTCCCGAGCCCGTAGGCTCGGCCAAAAAATGCCCATACAAACTGATACAGATATTTTATACGCGCGTGCGCGCAAACACACACACACACACATATATATATATATATATATATATATATATGCAAGACTCTTCGGTAAAACGAATTGATTTCTCTCAGTCACTGTGTGTTTATCTAAAGATAAATATGCTTAAATACACCTTCATCCCTGCCGTGCACCAACGGCTTTGAGATAGAATTCCGTAAGGTTTCCATCCTAGCTAGAGGCAACCGGACGTCTAGCCGCACTGATGAGCTGTGATACAGCGAAACACTCTGTCTGTGGATGACTATATATATATATATATATATATGTGTGTGTGTGTGTGTGTGTGTGTGTTTGTGTGTGTGCAACTGTACACGCATATAAAGGATATGTGGATGGATGGCCACTCGCATCCTGGATGCCCGACTATTATGGCGGCTAGCTAATACCCGTTGCAGACAGCTGCTCAGGCAGATTTGTGTTTGTTCAACACCCACAGAGCCCACCTGTGGTTTATACTGCAACGATGCCAAGCGGACCTCAGTTACTGTTTCTCAGGGAGAGCGTGTTATCTATTGAGAACAAGGTCGGCACGCTCAATCCATCAAAACTGACTTGTGACTTCGTAGCATAACGATCGACGGCTCCCAAAAGGTTTCCCTTTACACAATTTCACTCCCTTTGTTGGACGTTTGGTATGGCTTTCAGCAACTTCCCAAAGTTGCCGTATGCTAGGACGGCCTCCTCCAGATTGGTGACATCAAGAAATCGCCTTCCTGACAAATCGAACATGGTGTGATTCAACTCCGGGTCTCATAATGAGAAAGCGATCGTTCTAATCACCACCCACAAACCACCAGATGTAGTTCCGCCCAATACGGCCAATTGCTACAATATCAAAACATCAGCTTAAAATTTAGTATCTGATCCTTAACCTGCTCCCCCGGGGTAGACGTGTATATACGTTATTACCGAGGGTGTCTTTTTCAGTCACGGACGAATAAAAGTGTCACATACTGGGATCAGCTACTCTAGTCCGATAACGTCAAATACTTACCTTACTGATAAATCGACCATGGTGAGATTCGAACTCAGATCTCATGGTCAGAGTGCGAACGTTCTAATCCCCACCCACAAACCACCAGATATAGTTTCACCCAATACAGACAATTGCTACAATATAAAAACGTCAGCCTAAAAGTTAGTATCTGGTCCTTAAACAGTACAACCCCCACCCCGGGGTAGACGTGTATATACGTTTTTACCGAGAAAATCTTTATTTTCAGATTGAGACGAATAAAGATATCACACGCTGGGATCGCCTCGTCCGTATCAATGACATCAAGAAGCCACCTTCCTGGTAAGATTTGAACCCGGGTCTCAAGCTCTGGCGTAAGTCGTTGTTGATGAATTTTTCACTTAGTCTCATCGTCTTCATGGAAAAATAATGTAATTTAACGTATATAAAATGGGCGTTCGGTGTAGGTATTATGGTGAGAAAGCTTGTGTTGCTCTGTCGATTATGAATGAGTAGTGAGTTCGATCCTTACTGGTAACTTCTGAAAGTACGTTTTCTGCCTTTTTTGCCTCATCTATTCTACGCTTTTTAAATCGATATACGGAATATAACAGAATGAATAAAGTGCTCAGTATAACACTAGAGCGACAGGTGTTATTGAAATAGAAGTAGTGACATTAAACTGCTTTTTGAACGACCAGTACAGCGTTTCGTGATTTCAAAATCAATCACCCGGACTCGGGGTACTCACTCGTTCAGTTTTACCGAACAACATATCATCTTAGTTTCGTATCCGATGCGCAAACAAACCATTTTTTTTAATTAATTAATAGATTTATTTTTTTAATCCGACATATTTGAAGTAATGTGTATGCTGTAAAGACAAAATAGAAACTTTGCTTTATCTTGGTGATATTTGTAGTGGGTACCCGTATTTGAGTAGACGCCCTGTTTGTTTTAACCAGTATTGAACATTTTGTGTGATTTAGTATTTAATAGTCATATTCTTTTAAAAGACACAAATTCTGTATAACATTTTTTGTGAACCAGTAAAAACGTACTTGAGTTTTGGAGACATAGAGTTCAAAATTTGACTACGAAAGATGGCAGGCATCAAAATGCGTGTGAGCGAAACTTTCTGTTTTCATTTTAAAAATATGTTGTGGATTTGAGTTAACCCACAACAAAGAAAAATCCGAGAAAAGTTGTCTAAATATAAAATATTATTTGTTCTTTGTTTGTAGCAGCTTCTTAAGATGAAAAGAAATGTGATGTCTTATCGTTCATGTGTGAACAAATGCAAGAGAGAACGTGAGGAGGAAAGTGTAAGTGCCACGTAGCTTGGTGAGGAGACACTGTAAGTGTACCGTCGCTTGGTGAAGAAGAGTGTAAGTGTCTCGTAGCTTTGTGAGGAAGAGTGTAAATGTTACGTAGATTCGTGAGGAAGACGGATGGATGATTAAGGGAATGTCTTTGAAGCCATAGTTTCGTGAATCTGTTGCAGTATGTTGCCATACCCTTTTCCTCTCTAGCTTGTCTGGTTAGGGGACTTTGTTTATTTACTCTTCAAAGGGATAAGAGACTATGTTTTTATTACCTACGAGAACGCCATCCATTGGTTGAAAAATGTTAAACATTTCTTTTCTAAGCATTAATTTATTAACCGGAAGGATGCACGACTCCCACGACTCAGAATCCTTTTTTTTTTCTCATTTGTTATTTGACTGCCTTGCTGTTTTGCCCCGTCTTCGATCCACAAATATTGTTTTCTTGTTATGGTAAATATTCATTTCTTGGGGTGTAAATATTGTTTTTTTTTGTATTAAATATTGTTTTTTTTTGTGCTAAATATTGTTTTCTTGTTATGCTAAATATTCATTTCTTGGGGTGTAAATATTGTTTTTTTCTTTTTTTGTAGTAAATATTGTTTTTTTGTGCTAAATATTATTTTCTTGTTATGCTAAATATTCATTTCTTGGGGTGTAAATTTTGTTTTTTTTCTTTTTTTTTTGTAGTAAATATTGTTTTTTGTGCTAAATATTGTTTTTTGTTATGCTAAATATTGTTTTCTTGGGGTGTAAATATTGTTTGTTTTTTTTTCTTTTTTTGTAGTAAATATTGTTTTCTTGTGCTAAATATTGTTTTTTGTTATGCTAAATATTCATTTCTTGGGGGGTAAATATTGTTTGTTTTTTCTTTTTTTTGTAGTAAATATTGTTTTTTTATGCTAAATATTGTTTTTTGTTATGCTAAATATTCTTTTCTTGGGGTGTAAATATTGTTTGTTTTTTTTCTTTTTTTTGTAGTAAATATTGTTTTTTGTGCTAAATATTGTTTTCTTGTTATGCTAAATATTCATTTCTTGGGGTGTAAATATTGTTTGTTTTTTTTTCTTTTTTTTTGTAGTAAATATTGTTTTTTGTGCTAAATATTGTTTGCTTGTTATGCTAAATATTCCTTTCTTGGGGTGTAAATATTGTTTTTTTTCTTTTTTTGTAGTAAATATTGTTTTTTTTGGGCTAAATATTGTTTTTTGTTATGCTAAATATTGTTTTCTTGCCTGTTAAATTTTGTTTGCGTATGTGTTAAATATTGTTTTCTTGTGCTAAATATTGTTTTTTGCTATGCTAAATATTGTTTTCTTATGTGTTAATTATTGTTTTCTTATATGTTAAATATTGTTTTATTGTGCTAAATATTGTTTTTTGGGGCTAAATATTGTTTTTCTTGTGTTAGATATTGTTTGCGTATGTGTGAAATATTGATTGCGTGTGTGTTAAATACTGTTTTCTTGTGCTAAATATTGTTTTTGTTGTGTTAAATATTGTGTTCTTATATGTTAAATATTATTTTCTTGTGCTAAATATTGTTTTTTGCCGTGCTAAATATTGTTTTTGTTGTGTTAAATATTGTTTTCTTATGTGTTAAATTGTGACGTCGCCCCCCCTGGTCGCAGCGTCGACTCTGTCGTTCGATCTCGTTCGCGGCTCCAACTGTGACGTGACGTGATGTAGCCGCCTAAGGGTCGATCCTTGTCACGGACAGCACCAGTTGTGACGTTTTTGCCGCGGCGTCAGCTGTTCGCCCTCGTTGCTCCAAGTGTGACGCTCTAACCCTTTGGTTAGATGATTACCAGCCTCGCCGTTCCCAACTCGCTTCCAACACCTGGTTACTAGGGTAACTGTACTGATCTCCGGTCTGCCTACCCACGTTGTGATTAGATCTTAGACAGACGGGATCAAACAGGGATTGGGGCCGTATGCAAGTTGAGTTCGACAGGGTGGCAACACACAAGTAAAAGAAAAAACTCACGAGGCCAAAAATTACTGATAAAAAGGGTAACAACCTTTTATATCTAATGTTCGTTACATAAAATTATTCTTACTTCCCGACCCGTTTTGTGGACTGTGGCACCAAGCTTCTACCATACAATTTAAAGACTTGAGTTGCCTACTCTCTAGAATTTTGTATGTCGGAGTGTGGTTTGGTTTCGACACTGGGCGCTAATCTCTACCAGTCGTTCACGGCTGATTCTTCTCTTCGGCTTGAGTTGGACGAGCTTATTCACTTCGGCTTGAGTTGGACGAATTTCTTCACTTCGATTTGGGTTGGACGAATCTCTGTTCTTAGGCTTGGTTTGATTTCAATTTCTTCTATGCGCAACTGCAAGTAACTTCTTCTTCGTCCGCCCTGCAACTCTTCTCGCCAAGGTCCGGACTCTTCTCTCTGCCGTCTGGGGAACTCAACTCTTCTCGCTGCCGTCCGAGACTGACTCTTCTCTCTGCCTTCCGGGGAACTCTAACTTCTCTCTGTCTGGCCTGCAATTCTTCTGCCTGTCTGGCCGGCAACTCTTCTGCCTGTCTGGCCTGCCAATCTTCTGCCTGTCTGGCCTGCAATTCTTCTGCCTGTCTGGCCTGCAACACTTCTGCCTGTCTGGACTGCAATTCTTCTGCCTGTCTGGCCTGCAGCTCTTCTGCCTGTCTGGGCCTGCAATTCTTCTGCCTGTCTGGCCTGCAAATCTTCTTTCTTCGGCTTCAGCGCTGCAAATTCTCTGCCTGTCCGGGCCAAACGGACCGGCCCTTCTTGCCCGCAAGGGGCGAATGAACAAGGCCCACCGTCCGCTCTCCAACTACTCTGGCCGTCCACCCCGCAACTCTGATTTCTGTCGGTTGGGGTTCTGCTTTTATTGACGCCGCAACAAACTGGGGTGGGTCTGTCGGCGTCAGGGTTTTCTTGATAATTCCAAAAGTCGCACTATTTCTGATTTCCCATTATCGCTCTTACTCTCACCCCTACTTCCTCACAGTGCCTCTGGGGGGGAGGCGCACACCCATCTCTCCCGGTCTCTCGTATGTCAGGTGACCGTTTTCGACCAATGGGTCCTGGTCGAGCGTCCTTTCTCCTCTTTCTTGCATATCACGTGACCGCTCTCGGCTAATGAGATTTTGGTTGGGCGTCTCTCGTCCTTCGTGACGTCTCCAATCGGGCGTGGCCTATCCGGGGCTTTGTTCTGGGGAAGAACACCTTGCTAAAAAAACAAAATCCAATTTGGCCTTTTTCGCACGCACGAAAATGACAATCTCGGCCTTTCTCACCTTTTGGCTTTTGTCAAAACAGCCCGCCGCTAATTAGATGTGACTTCAGGAAGAATTTTTCTCGTCTTGCTGGCGCTTTCTGTGAGCCAAAACAATTGTTTTCATTCCTTTATTTTCGCTCAGGCCTGATAGCCAAAATCTTAATTATCTGAATTGAAAATATCTTCACTTTATCATCGTGGGGTTCTAATCTTTCAACTCTAGAGCTGGTCAGGATCTGTATACAATTCCAGCGGTCACCTCTCATCCCAAAGACACCCCTTTTGATTAATATTTTTTTTCCATTGTTCTAAAAAAAATCCCATTTCTCCAACTTGATAATGAACTTCCACATTCCGAGGACACAAAAGTAGGCCAGGTGTTTTGACCGATTTTATTAATCGTCCGTCTTGATGTCTTTCCACTTGTACCATGTCTGTTCCTTTCTTTCTTTTAATTATCTCTAACTCTATTTTTTTCAAATAACAATTTCTATTGTTCGTGAAATTCGGTCAGGCGCGTTGGCCTAGATATCTCTTGACACCTGTTTTCGCTTATGACCGGCTTTTTGCATTATCCATCTCTCCCTCTTTTTCTTTCTTTTCCTTTTCTTTTTCCTTCTTCTTCCTTAGGATCGCTTAAATACAATTAGAGAATTATTCTCAAAACTCAATTATTCTTCGTCTAAATAACTAACAACTGGTTAATAAACCGAATAAAAATTAAATCATATTTCTATGAATATTTCTTTTTAGTTTTTCTAATAATGCAGGGTGCCACAAAATATTGTTTTCTTGTGCTAAATATTGCTTTTTGCTACGCTAAATATTGTTTTCTTATGTGTTAAGTATTGTTTTCTTATGTGGTAAATATTGTTTTCTTGTGCTAAATATTGTTTTCTGCTATGCTAAATATTGTTTTTGTTGTGCTAAATATTCTTTTTTTGTGGTGCTAAATTTGTTTTTTTTTTGTGCTAAATATTGTTTTCTTGTGCACTAAATCTTCCTAGATATGTATTCACCCGATTCGTAAATTAGTCTTTGCATGGAAAGCTTTTCTTTTTGATAAATACTTTGATTCTGAAATACAATTGATCTTGCAAGATTTTTACACGGATCAGCTTTGTGTTTTTGTATCCAAATCCATTTTTATTACTTTTCGTTTCATAACAAATTGTTTTTATTACGAATATACTTCCCCATCAGCGATCATTTGATTTTTGGCAGTGATTTTCATTGGTGCAATCTTCCCCGTAATAACATTCCACTGGCTCTCTACTAAGTTGTGAATAGCTCGATATCATGATCGTAAAACCGTTTTTATCGGTTTAATAACATAGATTGCGGCAAAAATCCCGCATAAAATTGCTCATAACGTTTTAGTGATCTTCTCTATAAGAAAGAGTATTAGTACGTATACCAATTTCGGGAAATAGATCTCTCTGATGCTCTGACACACCTCATCAGTAAGCGATTTTTCCCTCGTGGATCATTAGGGTTTCGGGTCTTAAAACATCATACCCATTCTCCATGGCGACCGAATCGATATTGGTCAGATAACGATTCGTTTATCAGCCGCTGCCTAAAAACTGGTCTCATAATGGAACACTGCTAACCGACTTCGGCGAAAGTGATTCTTTGTGCGCAGTCCAGTTCAACCGTTACGATAAGCCCTCGTGTATTTTATCCAAGTCTTGAGTCAATGTGAGCGTTTAACGAAAGCTGGATTTGAGGCGGGGAAACCGTCTGGCGGTAGAATATCATGAGTTTGCAAGTGTGGAGGGGGGTGCTGACAGTTTGGGTCGAGGTACCCGTTCATTCAATATTAAAATGTTGATGTCGATCACTGGACCATTCCGTAAGGGCTCCATGGACGTTGCTAATTTAAAAACAAAAAAAAAAAACCCCAAAACAGGAACACTTGAGTCCACAAGAATTTATTAACGCTAAACATTTGGTTGCGTCTCACAACTTTTATTTCACTTATGAAAATGTTGTGGACTTGATTTCACAGTGGAGGCTTGTATTTGTACTAAGTCGGTCCTAAAATAGGTTCGACGTACAAAACGTTAGAAACTTGATATAATAGGTAATGACGCAGAGAAATCGAGTTGTGGTCACTGGTAGTTTATGTTGAAACTTGACTAATACATGGAATAATAATGCAACACAAAAGGTACTTAGAACAAAATGTATTGAAACAAGAAACTGTACACAATATTTACATATAGTCTTTTGTATATTCCTGGTAAGACCGTTCCTGGAGTATGTGTTGACTGAGTCGCAGTCGGGCAGACAGTCTCTGGATTGAATCTCTTGATTCCTCTCCCTCGTCTTCCCGGTACCAACCATATTTATATGGTCGGTACTCCACTATGCAAATTAGGTGGATCCTACCACAACACTTTAGTATCCGACTAACGGTCGTCCGGCCTCGACTGACTGACCAACTCCCTGAGCGACCGACTCGTTACTCTTACTACTCCTACTTATTATAAATGGGAGAATCTATTAACTATAGAATAGGTGTGTTCTACTATAACAGAAAAGAAAATCATGGGTATGATGATAAACTTCATTTTAATTCACGTACTAACAACCAACTCAATTATTATCCCTAACAAAATTTTCTCAATATCGTAGCAAATAATCATAAACAACATTAAATGATCACATTGACCACATAAACACTACACTATCTCGTCGGTTAACTTGCCACTTAAAAAAAATAGTATCGGAAAGTTTTTCCTCTGTAATTCCTATTTTTATAAAATACACCCACTGTAAAGAAAGACATACAATGCTGGAAACTATTATTATAAAAAAAAAAAAAAAAAAAAAACCATCGAAGTCGGACTAAACAAAATATTTTTCACCATAGGAGACGACATTTCAAAATATATTTAAAACATTTATAATATGTAGACATATAAAATAACTGATACATCCGTCACATATACGATACAAGTTTATTTACATTTGAAGTGACATGTACCGGAAAATGCTAGGAAGCAGCTGACAAAACTTTTGTCTACGATACCGACGCTAAGTAGTTATTTAGACTGACAGAGACGATCGAAAGTTTTCAAAAAAGCAAAAGAAAAAAAAAAAGAGAAAAAAATCAACTTTGGAGAGTTTAACCAAATAATCTGATTTCCATATGCGATAACTTAATCGAAATTTTGAACAATATACGCACAAATGAAGCAGACATAAGTTGGTTGAATTTACTACAATTTATTTAAATTACTTAGTATAAAGCTAACGGAAAAAATTAGCAGTCAGTTGCTGAAAACTCCTAACGAGTGGACTAAACTATAACAAAAATGTTTGCCTACGAAACTTTGACTCGAGTTTATGAATATAACATCAATCATCTAAGTGTCAAGGTTTAAATGTATTAATCCTTTATATCAAGGGTCGGCAACATACGGTCCGCGGGCCGGATCCGGCCAGCGAAGGCATTTTGACCGGCCCCCGAACCTGATTACCAATGACTATTTTTAACATGAGAAACGAGGCTTTCGAATTTGACAAAAGGCCTGCTGTTATCTTCCTCTGATCCACCCAACCGAATTTGAATACTATAACCGCAAAAACACGATCAAAACCCAATCACCCCCATTTCAGCGTAAAAAATTAAAAAAAAAATAAACATAAAAAAAAACTTGGGGCCGATTTGATCGACTGACCGACAGCTTCAAAGGGACAATGTTGTCTTAGTCGGCTTTCTATTTCATTCCTCCAACAGCGACCCCTCCCCATCGCAGCGGGGTAGCAGAAATGTAAAGACAGTTAAACATACGCGCATTATACATATATGCCTCATGAATGTGTGGATGATACCGCATGTGTATGTACGTAAGTGTATATGTTTGCAACTATTTGTACTCGTATGTATGGGTATATGTGCTTCGTTTTTTGTTTGATGTGTGTGTGTGTGTGTGTGTGGTTCGTTTGTGGAACAATTTTCAATAACAGTTTCAAACCTACACGTCATAATTTCATCCATTTCACATCGGTTGATTTTTTTTCACTTTGAAGTATTTTGACGTTCCTTGAGGAAAAGTAATTTTTGTTAGGTGTTTTTTTTTATTTTAGATTTTCTTTTGTTTTTTCTGATTTCTCAATGTTTATTTTCATTATGGTTTTAAATATGTACGTTGACGATTAGGCCATTAATGAAAATTAGGAAAATTGCACATGCAGACCGCATGTGTAATTTTCCTTAATTTTTCATTAATGGCCTTCGTCTGGCCCGCGACCCGTCATTATAACACGATCCGGCCCGCGGGTTCGAATGAGTTGCCGACCCCTGGTTTATATTCTCGTTAGCTGAATGGTATAACGCGTCAGATCAAATTACCCTATAGGAATAAAAGTTCGGTTCCTGTCAGAGAAATCATATTTCTAGAACATTCAGGCAGATGTAATTAATGATGCCATCATATAAACAAAATATTTACTTTGTTACTTTAATAATAATAAAACATATTAAACCAGGTAAGATATTATAAATTAATTATTAGCACAAATTAACAAATATTACAGTTTGATTAATAATATAAGATAACATCTTCAATATAAACCATCAATAAAATAAATAAATAAATTTAATTTCAAAGAATTTACATCAGGAAGAATAATCCGCAACTGAAAACAAAAACGGAGACTTTAAAAAAGGCAAAAATTCATGGACGTGTTAAAGAACGTGAAATTCATGAATACACACGTGTACAAAACGAATTGAAAAAGACGCAAAATAAATTGAAGAAATTGGAAATATCATTTAAAAAAAAGGGAAATTCTTGAAGAATGGTCATTACCACGAAACTTCGAAGTCGAGGAAAACAACACAAATTGATATTAAAGTTGAGTAATCTTTGTATAATTAATGTAATTCAATATATATTGTGACCATGGAAATGGTTAAGAAATAACAAAACAAGTGCTGAGGATATAACATATATTAAACAATAAGTGCAACAGAAGAGTATTACACAATTAGTGAGTGTGTGTCAATTGACCCAGCGGTCAATCTATTCTACTGTTCTCCCAAAGCTTCCTCTCCTACTAATCTTATAGTAGTCGGAAGAGTCCAACATAGACTCTTTAGAGGGAGGACACCACAAAAACCATATATATATATATATATATATATATATATATATATATATATATATATATATATAAAAAAAAATGAACGACTTGAAGAATGGTCTTTACCAAGAAACTTCGAAGTCGAGGAAAATAACAACAAAAAATTGATATTAACGTTAAGTAATCTTTTGTACAATTAATATTATATATATATATATATATATATATATATATATATATATATATATATATATATATATATATATAAGCAAGTATAGGATTGGTGTATACGGAATAAATTCCAAAAAAAATGCTATTCTTACAAGATATATATATATTCATAAAAAAAATATATATATATATATATATATATATATATATATATATATATATATATATATATATATATATATATATATATATGTGTGTGTATATGTATATATATATATGTCACATATGTAGTACAGTTCAATTTATATTACAATGAATCATTCATACAAAAAAGTAAACTAGTAAATTTAATGATATAAAATGGCGAACTTCCTTCGCTAAGAAAATTTTAAAGATGCGATTAGCATTCCATTTTTTTTGTTTCGGATTCTACAGGAATTTTACCAAAATCAAAATAATTTCCATGCCTGAAGATGACTGAATGAACAGACGAAAGTATTTGCGTATTTAAGAAATACTTAATACACCTTATAAGAAAAAAAAAGTATCATGACATTCATCGAGTGATAGGTAGGTCTATGCATCTTTAAAATTTTGTTAGCGAAGGGATTAGTAGAATTAGTGGTGCATTGTGGGTAAACTATTATGGCGGTTATTTATCCAGAAGTGGCTTGTTTTATTTATTTATTGATTGATTTGTTTGGTTTAATTCATTATTTTTTCATTTTCATATTGTATTATTTATTCTTGCGCCTAGCATGAAACAGCCTGTCAACTCTGAGTATTGACTTCAATGTTCACTTTATATATATATATATATATATATATATATATATATATGTGTGTGTGTGTGTGTGTGTATGTATGTAATTATATATATATATATGTATATATATGTGTATATGTATATATGTATATATATATATATATATATATATATATATATATGTAAATATATATGGATGTATTTTTATTCGTATATTATTTTTTTCATATTTACAGATTTTGTTTGTCGAAAAATATTTTCATTGTGGCTCGAGTGCCATACTATCCATCAAAAAACACGACATAGAAAGAGGTATTATGGTTTGGGAGCATGACGTGATATTGGCAAAATATGTTTTTCAGGACAATTACGGCATATACTGCCATCATCACCCCCGCTATTATGTGTCATGAATCCAATACACAGTGCACTGCCCGAGTAGGAAGACCCACCATTAACAAATTTCCCGCTAGATTTTTTCCTCAGTCATTTCAGGACAATGATAACTTTCACTGCTAGCACCTCCATTGACGAATTATCTTCGCTCACAATGAGATTCGGCTGATGGCCATATAACGTTAAAACACCGGTTTTGTTAGTATAAGATAACATTAAATATCTGAATATATCGTAAAGTCAACCTGCATAAAAACAACAATCTATCTATCTATCTATCTATCTATCTATCTATCTATCTATCTATCTATCTATCTATCCCAGTGTATTAATTATCTATCTATCTATCTATCTATCTATCTATCCCAGTGTATTAATTATCTATCTATCTATCTATCTATCTATCTATCTATCTATCTATCTATATATATATATATATATATATATATATATAAATGCTTTAAATGCTCTGGATGGAGCGGCTTGCTAATAGTAGTCGTGGTTCGTGGGGGCACAGTCCTATCGGTAAGGTGTCGCCATATTTATTACAACGTTTCGGTCGTTGTACGCTCAGACCTTCTTCCTCAAGGACACATGGCACAGTGGATAAAGGCGTTAGTTAGATCCAGTAACAGGACCCAAAGACTGTGAGTTCAATACCCGGTTAAGGCAGTGGATATCTTTCAGAGGGAAAATTAACAGGAGATAACTTATAACTGACATCCATTAAACATGGCACGTGGAACTAGAACAGTCTACCTCAGTGAGCGAAATAAAGTGTTCAGTTCGACATTCCAACCACCTGAAGAAGGCCGGAGCGTACAATGGCCGAAACGTTGAAATAAATATGGCGACAAAGATGAGGACAATAATCCGAATAATGGAAATATTGTCTCTAATAGGTAGCTGCATACTCCGCAAAGTGATAGGTTGCATTTTTTCATCTGAGGGTCTTTAATTGTGTCCTGCCATATAAAAAAAGAAAGTAATTTACTTAGCAAGGTGGATTTTACTGGTTTTAAACACATTACTCTAAGACCTTGATAACCGAATGTATCACTGTGGCCCAATAGGTTAAGACACGTCAGGCTATGTGACGGTTCATATAGAATGCAGGTTCGATTCCTGGCGGAGGACGCATATTTTCTATAAAAAAATTCTTGGACATTCAGGCCGGTAAATGTTGTTAATACTGTTTATTATAAACAGAGCATTTACTTAAATATTCTATTGTATAAACATAAAAATGTCTTAAATAATTGTCGGACTTTGTCCATTTCATCACACACACACTCATATATATATATATATATAAAGAACAGTATAATATATAATCCGATGTTCTTGTAGAAATTTTTATTTTTACAAAATAGTGCTCAATTTAAATTATTTAAATATAATTTTAAAAAAAATTGTTACCTAATAATAAACATACTTGATGTGAAAATAATTCTACATACTGTAAGGGATGGTAATATATTTACTTGTTCTTAAAAGAGATATAGTATATTAAAAATTAAAAGTGAAAATATTTTTCAGATCGTAGTTAAATTGAACGTATTCTAACCTAACCCCCCCACCAAATCTTTAAATATACAAATAGGGAAAAAATGCCGTAAGAATTTTTGCCGTTACTAATAAAATTTTAAAAAAATGCAGACGACATGCATTTAACGGATGTCCGATTTCATTGAAAAATACATCCCTACCCCTACCAAAACGTAACTAATAACTGATACATCAAAATACAGCGATAATGAACACGCAAACACCCCTTGTCTGGGTGAAGTGGATTTCTCTGTATCCTTGGAAACGTGAATTATGATTGTTGCTCTGTATTTAAAACGCAGTAATTTTAAAAGTTACTACAAAATTCGCTTGAGTATGAAATGGAACTAATGTCTTTAATTTAATTACAAAATTAAATTCGGAGGTTTCAGCTTCTTTTTTGAAACATGGTTAGAACTGTGTAGCGAAAAACACATTTTGGATCAATTTATTATATATATATATATATATATATATATATATATATATAATATTTTGTTATATATATATATATATATATTTCGTTATATATATATATATATATATATATATATATATATATATATATATATATATGCAAAAAATGTTAAAGAACGAAGAGAGTAAAATAGCAATATTCAAAGAATTTAAAATAGGACTCAAGTTCTAATTTATATTGTAAAATTGTTTTTGTTAAGTATTGTATTGCTTCTTAAATTGTCCTTTTTTACATTCTGTGGATAATTATATGACTTCATATTACAAATGCGACATGTCGATACAGTGTTTCCGTTGGAATTTGAATTCTCTGATTCAACAGAATTTCATTTGTTAATTCGTATCAAGTTCTTTCTATTTCCTTTCTTCTTAACTTTCCTCTTCTTATGAATCTGGGTAATTTTGAATATACCCCCTCTCCATCTTTTGCTTTTCTTTTTTGTCTATTCGATTGGTAGTAGGATTAATTTCCTGTGCTTTCTCTCGACTTTCTTTTCATTTTCTTCCTCTTTTCCTCTTTTCCATTTTTTTTTTATTGATTTCTTATCTTCTTTTCTTTTTCTTTATATAAATGGTTTTTGTCTTTTATGGAAAAATTTCCAAATAACGTAAAGTGTAGCATTGTTTCATTAAACAAATTTTTGAATAAAATCGTTTAGTAGCATCATTGTTAGCCACCTGAAGAAACCCTTCATATTAACACTGAAACAAAATGTAAAATTTTGTAGTGGATATTTATATCTTCTAATGTAACAGTATATATATATATATATATATATATATATATATATATATATATATATATATTATACACTGTTACATTCGAAACAATATATATATATAAGAAAATTATATATATATATATGTATATATATATATATTTTCTCTTATTATATATATATATCTTATATATATATATATATATATATAGTTTCTAATGTAACAGTGTATAATATATATATATATATATATATATATATATATATATATATATATATATATTTATTGCTCAATTCATTTTTGGAAGTGTTATTGATGATCCAGCGTCCTTTAAAAGGACTCTGTGTGATTATATATTATACACTGTTACATTAGAAACTATATATATATATATATATAGAGAAATTATATATATATATATATATATATATATATATAGCTAATATTAGTGGTAAATATACACATACATATACAAAATATATAAATATATATAGATAGGTGCATACACATACATGTATATTTTTTTAATAAAAAATTCCAAGAGGATAGAATCCAGACGGATAGATATAGTGATACATTGTTTATTTGTTTAGATGTGTGTATGTAATTGTATGGAGATGTAAGGTTTTCGGTATATATGTTTATGTGCACGTATGCGTATGTCCGTATGTATATATGTGGGTAAATGTGTATATATATATATATATATGAAGGACTGGATGCGTATGGATGTATGTGTATATATATGTATGTGTGTGTGTATTTATGTATTATATGTATACATGTATGTTTATGTGTGTATTTGTATGTGTATGTATATATATGTATGTGAGAATGTGTATATGTGTGTATATGTGTGTGTATGTATATGTATGTATGTGTATGTGCATATATATATATATATATATATATATATGTGTGTGTGTGTGTATGTATATATGCATGTGCATGTATGTACCTGTATGTGAGAAGTGTGTATATGGATATAGGTGGATATATATATATATATATATATATATATATATATATATATATATATATATATGTGTGTGTGTCTGTGTGTGTGTGTAATTATTTGTATATTATATGCGTGGTACTTATTAGAAGGCGCTCAGTATCAGAGATAGAGCTAACATATTGAACCAGATATATGTGTATGTGTATATGTATATATGTGTATATGTGTGTATGTATGTGTGTATTTGTGGATATGTGGATATATGTGTATGTGTGTACATGAATATATGTATGTGTGTATGTGGGTTCACGCCTATGTGTATGTATATACGTGTATATGTTATTCTGCATCTGTTTTACCTTGCTTGCGGTGAGATGTGCATTCGAGAAAACTTACAGAAGGAAATGTACACATTTGTCTTTATTAAATATTCATGAAGGCGCAGACCATCGGCACATTGTCGTTATCAATTTTTCTCGAATATAGACGATATAAGCAGAACGTCTACGCGAATACGTGCATCCCCTAAAAAAGCTTCACGTAATAAGAAATATGTCCGATTAAAAAAATGTAAAACACATGAATTGTTTTATATATATATATATATATATATATATATGACAATAGGAAAACTAGTTATTGCTGACGCGTTTCGCCCAATGTGGACTTTCTCAAAGCAAAAAACGAAATGAGTTTAATTAAAGAAAGTAACCAATAATAACAAAAAAAAAAGAAGAAAGAATGTTCTTAGCAACGGGAGGAATGTAGAGAACACTATTTTCCTATTGTTAACTGAAAATAACGTCAGTTATTGTCACGTATGGAGAATATTGTCATTATAGTTGTGTTGACTGATTCAACTATTTTCTTTTGATTTTACGATATTGTTGTGTACGTTTGATTGGGAGAGCAATAATTTTGTTAAGAGAGGTGAAATAGGGAAAAAGCCTGGGCGTAGATCAATATTTGGGTAATATTCTATGGCGGCACTCTCTAGAATTTAAATCTGAGAAAATTTCATATATATATATATATATATATATATATATATATATATATATATATATATATATAGTTGTATATTTAGGGCAGCAATCCTTTTCTTTATGCATGTTTCATTAAAACGACAGACAAGGTACTACGGTTGAGCTTTTATTTAATTTTTTTTGTGTTCTGACAAGAGCTTTCTTTTCTGGGCAAAGGGTGTAAGAACTGTCCGAATATTTTGTATTTCCAAGCACTTTCAATATACCTTTAGCCATTATCAAGGATGATTCGATTATCAGCTTAGTAGAGTGTGTGCATTCTGTGTATTTTCAGTGTGGGTAGTGATGTTTTAATTTCCGAATACGGTTAGCATTTGGTGGCTTTGTTTAAATGTGTTCTGATGGAACTGTGATCAGATAACATCAGAACACATTTAAACACACACTCAAGCTCAACCGTAGTAACTTGTCTGTCGTTTTTAATGAAACATGCATATATATATATATATATATATATATATATATATATATATATATATAAATTTATATATATATATATATATATATATGTCTCTTCATATTTATCTCAGTGCGTATAGTTTGTTTATATTCCGGTGATTCTACCTATATATCTATCTATCTCAGGCTGTTCATATCTATCTATCTATCTATCTATCTATCTATCTATCTATCTATCTATCTCAGTCTGTTCATATCTATCTCAATTTGTTCATATCTGTCTTATTTTCATTATATTTATAAGATACTTCACGAAATCCCCAAAAAATAATCTGAAAAATTATAGATACTGTCCTGGCATTTCGGCTTTTTTCACTTTCCCGCCGCTATGTTCTGGCTTCCCTCTGTCTTTTTATATAAATATTTTCATAGCAACTGTTCGAATGAGCTTGCTTCTTTGGCCCCCTCGCCTGCATGGATGTAAGCGTAGTACTAGATTGGCAAATAGGTCTCATTGTTCTTTTTTATTTTATTTAGCAAGACGTAACGGTAAGTTCTACTTACTCACTTCCAATTTCTTGCTTCATTCCCAACCAAACGCTTTTAAATTTAAATGCAACATCAATCGCCATATTGTGTTTGCCTGAACCTCTTCTTTTGTTGTAGTTTATCCCCACTAATATCTTCGGATACTATTTTGCTCCTAGTAATTCCTTGCGTCTTAGTGGCATTATCGCCTTCCTTGTGTGTGAAATGATTAAAAAAAATATCTGTTCATTCGAGTAAACTAACTAAAGAAAATCTTCAATGCAGAGTAATTTTTTTAAAATTAATATATAGTTTTCAAGACGCAGGCTATTGGCACATTTTCTTTATCAAATTATCCCGATTGTGCAAGCCGGGAGATGAAATAAACACCGTAAGAAAACGGACGTCTACTGAAACACGTGTATCGACTAAAAACGTTTGAAGTAATAAAAATATGTCGATTATATGTATTGTATATATATATATATATATATATATATATATATATATGTGTGTGTGTGTGTGTGTGTGTGTGTGTTGTGTGTGTGTGTGTGTGCGTGTGTGTGTTTGTATGCACATACACACAGTGTGCGATGAGTAAATTTTCGCTATTTTATATTTTTTAAGTTCGCGCATGCGCTTTATTTCATTTTATTTTGTCGACTGCACATTATAGTAGGGTCAGTTGGGCAGCGTCTGAACAAAAATCGAACAATATTAAAATTCGATCCTCCAGAAATCTGGAAACAGCATGCTGTACTTCTTGGCATTCGCGCCGGAAGCTACAATAGGAACATTTCAGAGTGTTTGGGTGTCCACCCGAGGGCAGTGCACAGGATTCGGACAATGAGTCTGATTATAAAGGTACGACAGCACGGTCAACTCTCTTTGATCGTCCTGATAAGAAAAGAACTCGCGAATGTGTAGGTGAGGACCTCAGACTTAACACGGAGGCTAACATCATGCGATTGGAAGAGATACCGCTGCCCTGGGACAAGAGGAAGACCTTATGTCTGGAAACAGGAATCTGCACCATGTCATATAAACAGGAAAACCATGTCAAGGCTGTCAGACCATCCAGAAGAGTTGCTAGAGATTTCGAAGTCGTTTTTAGGCCCTGGTTGCAGCCAATGGCGACTTTATTTAATAAATTTTCTCTTTCGTAGATATTTTTGTGTAATTTTGGTTAATATATTTGTTAAAATTATATATATATATATATATATATATATATATATATATATATATAAGTATATAATTGGTATATACGGAATGAATTCTGATAACCAACAAATACTATTCTTAAAAGAATGCTCAATACAAAGTAGAGCAGATATAATTATTTTTATAAAAAAAATTATGACATAAGTATGTTATAAAATCACTACAAAATAGCCATTTTGTTTCAACACACTCTGTGTCTTATCAAGTGATGATGTTGAAAATAAAATAATCTAAATGGCTATTTTGTAGTGATTTTATAACATACTTATGTTATAATTTTTTTATAAAAAATAATTATATATATATATATATATATATATATATATAATTTAGAAGCTCTGACTTACAACAAAAACGGGCAAGTTTCAATCCGGAGTTGAGACATTCGGATGTCTAACCGCACTGACGAGCCGTGATACAGCGAAAAAGTTCTGTCTGCGAATGACATAATTTAACACTTGAAAATATATTTTCAATTGTGCACTGTTGAATGACAAGGTAATTCTAAAAACATTGGTCACCTGCGTAAATGCGAAGCTCTTCTGTAAAATGAATGGAGCACTTTGGCTGCTTGGCGTTTGTTTACATTTGTAAAAACAATACACTAGATTTGGCTGATTGGTTCTGTCGAGTGAAGATGGCTCAGTGGTAGAAGCCCTGACATCAAATCGGCTGGGTTTCGATCCGGGCTTGAGGCATTCGGTTGTATAGTCGCACTGAGAAGCTGCGATACAGCAAAACAGTACTGTCTGCGAATGACATAATATATATATATATATATATATATATATATATATATATATATATATATATATCTGTCTCTCTCAGCCTATTCATACCCATCTACCTGTTTATATATTTATCTAAGCTTTTTCTAATCTATCGATCTCAATCTGTTCATTATCTATCTATCTATCTATCTATCTATCTATGTAGTGAAACGTTTAGATCAGAGCGAGAAGTATACATCTTTAACATCCTGGACTGGTGCTAAGTAATCCCAAACAAAGAACAGAAAACACATTACTCAAGAACTTCCAACAGCAGCAACAAGTAAAATGTACAACACCTGAAAGTCTTAGGGGCATTATCTCCTTGCTTTTCGTAAAATCATTAAAACACGCGTATCTCTATATATTTTATTGTGGCTGATTTTGAAAATTGCAAATGAAAACATGGAAATATTGAATCGAAGAAAATAGTAAATTTCAAATCAATTTAAAGTCAAAGGTCATATGTAGAATAGACAGTATAGGACATAGGTTTTCGGAGCAAAAAATCAATAAATCTCTAAAATATGAATATAGCCAATGTAGGAAAATAACTAGAGAAAAAAAATCTACTAGAATTACAATAGATTGCTTTAGGGGTTTCTAATATGATTATGCTATTATGACTTGTGCTACTACTGACACTGTCGAATGCTACTCACATCTCTTTACACAGCGTATAATCCAACCTTTAGAAAATGGTCGAGATTCTGGAGTAACGAGAACGAAAGAAAGGAATAAATTGAGTGAAATAGGAAAATAAAGGCCGCTGAAAACTATCAAATCAGAAATTTTAAAAAAAAAGAAAGGGATAGAAAAAAAGAAGATATTTATATCTTCTTTTTTTCTATCATGAAAGCATGAATGTAAGAAAGATAAAAGAAAAAAAGGTACGAAGAGAGAATTGAAAGAAAGAAAGAAAGAAAGAACGAAAGAAAGAAAGGGATAAATGAAAAGGTAAAAAGAAAGAGAGAGCAAGAGAGAAAAGGAGAGAAAGTAATAAAAGAAAGAAAGAAAGAAATGTATAAATGAAAAGGTAAAAGAAAGAGAGGGGAAGGGAGAAAAGGAGAGAAAGAGCAATAAAAGAAAGAAAGAAAGGGATAAATGAAAAGGTAAAAAGAAAAAGAGAGAAAGGGAGAAAAGGAGAGAAAAAGTAATAAAAGAAAGAAAGAAAAAAAGGGATAAATGAAAAGGTAAAGAGAGAGAAAGAGAGAAAGAGGAGAGAAAAAGAAAGAAAGAAAGAAAGAAAGAAAGGGATAAACGAAAAGGTAAAAAGAAAGAGAGAGGAAGGGAGAAAAGGAGAGAAAAGAAAGAAAGAAAGAAAGAAAGGGATAAACGAAAAGGTAAAAAGAAAGAGAGAGGAAGGGAGAAAAGGAGAGAAAGAGTAATAAAAGAAAGAAAGAAAGAAAGAAAGAAAGAAAGAAAGAAACGGATAAATGAAAAGGTAAAAAGAAAGAGAGAGGAAGGGAGAAAAGGAGAGAAAGAAAGAAAGAAAGAAAGAAAGAAAGAAAGAAAGAAAGAAAGAAAAAAAAGAAAGAGAAGAAATGAAAAGTTAAAAAGAAAGAGAGAGGAAGAGAGAAAAGGGGAAGAAAAGAAAGAAAGAAAGAAAGAAAGAAAGAAAGAAAGGGATAAACGAAAAGGTAAAAAGAAAGAGAGAGGAAGGGAGAAAAGGAGAGAAAGAGTAATAAAAGAAAGAAAGAAAGAAAGAAAGAAAGAAAGAAAGAAAGA